TTACAGAACGAAACGGACGAAGAAACAGAAATTCGTGCGATAGGTCAACGTAACCTAATGGTACTGAAGCTGGTGGTAAAAATCGATTGTTTACATGTTTTACTATTACTAAAAACATTTTAGCGGCATTCAGCTATTGCACATGCCATAAAGTTATAAAGGCATACATCTTTACGTGAGGAAGCGTGTCAGTATGTTTTTATTTACTGCGTTTGCTATATCGTATGTGCTCCCTGTATAACAAAACATTGTCAACGTTTCAGAATGTAAGGTTGTATGTAAAATGACCGGCTTGTTCTAGGTTCAATTGTGATTCTGGTACTGCGCTTTGAAGTTGTTTACACGAATACTTTTCGGTAGAACAGACAGCGTCAACTCGATTAACGGCTAATAAGTTCCATTGGGCACGCTGCACGAAACGGAAAAGATCAAGTGGCAGCTGCTCCTTCTCTGTTACTGTTTCTGCTTTCCGTTCAGATCGATCGCTTTCTCTCCTATTGTATGCGGTGGTGCAGGAAGGACTAGCGATAGCAGTGAATTAGCAAGCAAGCAGGTTGCACCGGGATGATGATATGTACGTTACCCAGCAGGTCTCAGGCGTCCATAAGGGCCTCTAACGCAAGTGTTAGTAGACAGACGGCCACTGCGGCTAACTGTTGTGCATGGAACAAAAAGAGAAAGAAAATTCAGCCTCCCAATCGGCGAAAATCAGAAACAGAATCGAGTATGGCCGACAAAAGTCCGTTTCCGTCGGCCGATTCGTCGGTCTCTGACCAAGCCTCCAAATAGCACCACTGCAGTGGATACGCTCAACGGCGTCTTGCGCTTTCACCCCCCTTCTACTTTCCTCTGTACATATCAATCCTAATAATACCTGCAGTTTGACCGGCTCGATGTAAGATGAGGCGTACCCGAGGGACTTGGGAAAAAGAGCACCTCATAGAGTTGGGGTGCAGAGTTGGTGTGTAGAGCTTGACGCCAGGAGTCCTTCCACAAATGCCAATAGCAGAGAGCGCGTAATCCCTACATATTCCATAGAAGAGCAGTACGTACGCAAAGTGGGCGGATTACGGATACTTGTTTATGGTGCCCAAATTGGAACTATTACAGGATACAGTCACAGGCGAAGAAGCGCTAATAGCTCAATTCTCCCACTTTCTATTGGCTGGAAGGGTGGGTGGTGATTTCACAAAGCATAAATTTGTCCAGTGTATGAGAACGATAAAGAAAGAGAACGAACAACACAAACTGCTTTCATAACTCTTTTCATGGTTACGAAAAACAGCGCAGACAGCGTCGCCACACCGTGGTCACTCTCGCCTTCGTACTCCTTCAGCTTGTACAATCTGTGTCCCTGAACGTCCACATTAGTATTAGGATAAATACGAGGGGTGACGGGGGTAACATCCGCACGGTTGATTAAGAATCAGCGGAAGGACAAAGGCCGTTGACATGGTCGACGTTTAACGGAGAAACCTAGCTCTGTTTCTGATGACAGGAACAAGGCGATGGTTTTCCTCAGACCAGTCGTGTGCGGTCACTTTGATGCCTTTCTGGCATTGGAGTCTGGGTAGGCGAAGTTCAGGCGACGTTACGTCTTTTCAGGCCTTCTTAGGGATCTATTCTAGTATGTAGAGTGCACTGCATTGTTGTTCAAGAAGATGGCGAATTTAATTAGTTTAGAAACGACATAAGCCCACCGTCGCGCACGATGTATGCAAGCTTTACTCCTTAAGGCTAACATAGGCCTCATAAAATGCACATGGAACTCTTATGATATAATAGTTCGATGTGCATTTTATTGCTGTCCGAGGATTTTCCTTTCAGACTGCACAGGCCATCATTTCGCCTGTTTCAAGCTGAAATTTAATCAAAATTTCATTTAAAGAAATGTACCATAAAGAAGTTCGATTACTCAGCCTGCATTTTAATGGATTTCCCTCTAAATTCGCCAATCTGACGTTTCAAATTTAAAAACAACAGTTACTCCAGCTATTGTCTTTAGTTATTGTGCGTGAGTGAAGGCCGACGAACTAAGAGTGGTGACCAGATGTGCTAAATATAGGAGACCTTCTTTGAGTGAAGCAGGATTGGTCGACATTCATTACACTGAAGAACCTTACTGAGGGCAAAGTCTTGTACATGATAACTTTTTTTAGACTGAGCGTCACGACGATGCATGAATGAGAAAAGTTTATTACATAGTTTAGCTTAAAGGCACGTAAATACGCAGATAGTTTAAGTAACGGCCGTCTTAGTCCAGACGTCTGTAAATGAGGCAAAGTTTTTACCTTTTTCTGCCATTATTATCGTGATCACTATCATCTATAAAAGCATTTGCCTTAGCTCTGTTGCGTTATAAGAACCCTATAGTCACCCTGGTTATGCCTCTATTTTAGTTATTAGAATCGCAAGGAGCTTAATTGCTGATCGACGACGACCGATGTTGCATAACTGCGCCATAGGTAGTCCTTTGAATATTTTGATTGTCATAAAAATGTGTTGTCTGAAACTCTACCTAACATTAAACCGTAATAGAAAGCCTGGAGCGACTTTTAAAAAATTTGTTAACTCATAGTACTAAAGCCTTGAACGAGTGTGTGAAGCCAAACGGCCTAAGTTGAGCTTGTTTCTGCCCTTTATGCCCAAATTACCTTTTAGTATTTATCAGCAATTGGTCTGAATCGATCTTTATTTATCAAGTTTTCTATGTAATAGTACATTCAGGTGTCCATGGCCCACTTTCAGAGTCGACGGGAACACAACCCGTGGATATCACATATTTATATTCAAGTTAATTCATTTAAGGTTAATTATTTCTAGGGGACACGTAAAACTGGTGGATGGGCTCAATTTAGTAGCCGTCGAGCCTTGAATACATATCAATCACGTAGCCGTAAGCCCAGTAATAGGGAGAAGCGATTATCTGAAGATCAACTAAGTTAAAGCTTCACAGTCCACCCCTTGATGTCAAGAAAGGACACACGATGAATTTCTGGATTATACGGTAAGATTATGGCTTATGTTGCAACGCGTAACTCACCGTTTAATTAAAGAATCAGCTAGCGATAGCCAATTCTTATTAATTAATATATACGTCAGTATTAATCGGGTGATTGTTCGTCGCATACTGATCGTATATAAGTTGTTTAAGTTACGTCAAGCCGGTACTTTACACGGAATAAATATAGCGGCAGGGGAGTAAGAGTATTCAATGAACGGCAAAGGCCACTGGATTAGAAAGTTTCATAAACTTGCTTTCAATAGTTTGTAGACAAGGAAGACAGATACGAAAAGATGTGAAGATTGGCCGGAACAACAACAGAGTTAGATCGAACATTTCGAATGAACGAATTTTAGAGGAAACTTAAGGAGCTATTCGCTACGAGATACGGTTGCTATCTGTAATGAGCGCGCATGAAAAAGCTGGAAAAATTTTCTCCATAAATCTCTGAACACCCGAACGTACCGTTTAGATTAGGCTGTTCATTAAAGAGCGAATCAATCTTGTAAATTTAATTTTTCTAACATCCGCTGTATAAATCTTATTTGCATGCTATAGTTGACTAAATACGACTATGTCTGCATAGAGAAAAACGCATAGGACCAGGCCGTAGGTAACAAGATAGAATTGCTACACAATATGAAGATGAACAAAACCTGTTCTCGCAAATGATAGGTTATATCGTTCGTATACGACTAGCTCACACTTATATCAAATTGATAGCGCGTGGCACGCATAGAGGTTCCCGTACACATGAGGGACAGATATAAAAGGAGATTCTATACGGAAAGGACATTCGACAGTGCTCACCGATGAAATGACGATTTCTCAATGAGCAGCTTTGGCTCCTGTGTCCTACATATATCGAACCCACTTAAAGATATGCACAGACATACATGAAAGTATACACTTGCCACTCAAGTGCTCTACCTCAGTGGAACGAACAGCCCGTTAGTATGACCGACTCAGCCATCATCGGGGGAAGGTATACGCTTTACACATACCTAGATATGATGCCGCAGAGAAATGTACATACATGATCTTGTAATTACAGCTTTGAAACTTGAAGAGCAAGACAAGGATAATACTGTGGTGCTTAGGTGCTTGGCCAATATGGCTGCCTTCGACAGAGAAAATGCTGGTGTGAGCATGGACTTCAACAGCAGTACTCGAGTATTATTTTCAGAGTTAGCTCGGACTATCTGTACGTTCGCCGTAGTGTCATCATCATTTTGCTGCTGTTGTTGTTAGCGCTTTTCGTGAAGTTGCTGACAGCTCGGGTTTATCCAGAGATGATGGAATGATGAAAATGGTCGTACGCCTTGGGTCCGCTAGGCACGTGCGCAGACGGTTCTGTTCGAGACCCGATCGAGTAAGGTTGTGGCCCGGGAACGGGTCCCGGTCCGTTGCGTCGCTAGCGTCAACGGGCAACGAAAGTAGGATCAACATCAGCAGCGTTGCTACAAAATACCGAAGGACAACGGGGCAGCAGAGTCGAGTAACAAGGTAGCCGTTAATTCATTGCAGCAGGGTCGAATGTGCACCCTATCCTAAACCTTATAGCTCAGTAGACATAGCGGCAGAGTCGAATAGACAGCTTAAACTGGAGCTGTTGCTAAATGGAAGGGATGTCGTACAGACCACGGTGTACATACAGTAGTATTATACTATAATGGTGAGCTCTAGGGTAGCGCTCTAGCACCAGAGCGTCTAGTGCCGGGGCGGGGTTCAGTAGGGAGAGGGTCGTATGGCCATCAGCACCGGGGTCCCAGCGCCGAGCGCCACATGGCACGCCGCACATCACACACATGACGGCAGCGGCTTCAGTTCGACGCCGAGGACCGATAGCGCCACTTCGCTGACGACTGATAGAATCGAATACAACATTAACAACATCAACAGCCGCGGCACAACGCGACAGACAGATTGGTCGGCGCTGGTTCGGTTCTTCACCACCACATAGGCAATCGCTTAAGTTCTCGTACCGATACGAGTACTGTGCTGTTTAACTGCGGCGAAGTAATGTGCCTCCTCCTGGTGCTGTTACTCTAGCTACCACTGGGCCTGTCTGCTCAAGCGTCTTGCCTTTAATGCGTCTCCATCTTCAATCTTCAGTACATCATCATCATCATCATCATCAGCGGCAGAATCCGTAACAGCAGAATTGGCAGCAGTAGCAGTTGTGACGTGGTCAACCCGCGCGCGAGCCGTTCTTGTGTTCAGTGAGTTTCGCGACAGCTGCGCGGGTCATAAAGAAGAACCCCGTCCGTACGCGCGACAAGAGTAACGCGCTGCGCCAGTCAGTCCCTGGTTATCTTCTACCGTCGCCCGTTGTCGATGCAGTCGCAGTTGTTCTTCCAGAAGACAACGGGCCGTTTTCGGCACTCGGCATAAACGTAACACAACAGGCGGGCTATGGGCATACAGTGCGAACTCTCAGCTCGTTCAAACGGGAAAGAAAGAAAGAGCCACTTGAAGTACCACAGCAATATCTGCGATAATCTGTATACGCGTGTATCCAGTAATAGACGTGCGCATGTTACCCCGTTCATTTAACGGCATGTTGAGTAGTGCGACAAATTGGTCATGATTGTAACCGTGCTTTTAGTGAACAACGTTGTTCTGTAGGCAAGAAGAAAGGAAAACAACAGTAAGAGTGGTTTTGTGCGCACAGCGGCAACAATAACGATAACAACATTGTAAATACACGCTGGACCGTCTCAAGACTTAGGTGTCACACTGTCCATGTGTGTAAATGTGTAAAAGAGTGCTCAATGTGTTCAACGACGATGGAGTTCCAGTCTCAATTCTATGATTATGGTGAGCAAGAATTGCATCCGGCCATAGACGCGGACGGTGAAGAACCACAGAGTGAACTGTCGACGGCCAGACCAACGTGTTATGATTTTCATCATATGCCCCCATCCCCGCCAAGTGAACTATCTGATCCGGTGTCTTCCACAACCAGTAGCCCCCTCAAAAGGAAAAAAGGTCTTAGATCATTGATCCAACCAGCTTCCGGACCACCAGTGGTCAAGAAGCGCCGTCTTGCAGCCAACGCTCGGGAACGCCGACGAATGCATGGACTCAACGTCGCTTTCGATAAATTGCGCGAGGTGGTACCTGGTCCAGGTATCGGCGCTGAACGGAAGCTCTCTAAGTACGAGACCTTACAAATGGCACAAAGCTACATCAATGCGTTGTCGGCCCTTCTCCGTTGAAAGCACTCTCACTTTTCCATCAAAGTAGTCTGGCTATTTTCAGTAGATAGAAGCACGTACATATGCTGTTGCTACACTCGTCGAAGTTATACAGCCGAACTTCAACCATAATGTTTCTTCAGGGAGCCCAGTACGTTTACAGATGCCCACTTATAAATGTACGATAATCTGTACTCGCAAGTTTGCCATAGATGACACCACTGTGATGATACGAAAATAACAAAGCCTTGTTGTAGGTACTCTATTGCACATACATACCAAACTATAGTGTTCATATGTTTGCCATATTTTCAGTAGGTACTATTATTCTCTACGCTCGAAATTGTTTACAAAATAAACTTTTTTGTCGGTAGTTATAAGTGCCATCTTCGTCTCTTTTCTATTAGATCCTGTTTTAACTTCGGTCAAAAGAATTTTTCGCTGACCTCAAGTGCCCGAGCTCTGGGAATGCATCGCCGGACGTTGCCTATATTTACTTAGGTACAACGATGGATCACGTATCCCACTAATGTGGGCATCGCAGACACGGCCTAGGCAGAAAGCGAAGAAGGACGTTGTCGCAAAGTATAGTGATCTTCGTTGTCTGCTCCAGTGTGCTATTGATAAGCTTAAAATAAACGAGACGATTTACATGAAATGATATTACCACCTGTAGTTTTAGCGGAATCATCGTAAATACTCGTGCTATTCAAATTGAGACTATAGGGACGCTGGGAAGCACAAGGTTCGTTCGGGCTGCAGCGCGTAAAATGCCCTTTACTTCAGAAAGTCTCGTTTCAGATAGTTCGCTTAATTGAAAATGAATCTTGTCCATTTACGATGGCAGATCAGAGAACGTTGGCTGGAGGTGGATTGATGACAGCTGTGTCAATCCATGCCATGTCTCTGTGCGTAGCTTCGCATTTTGATGGTTGTACAAATTGTTAGGATGTATTGACACCGAAAATGGCAGATTGCTCTTCTCCTTTATTGTTCCAGTTCTCCGAGAGATTAAATATCATAGAAAATGGTTGTCAAAGATATTTTTTTTTGGAAAAAGATGAGAGATAGTGTTTTTTTCCTCGAGAGCATTGCAGAGAACGTTACATGTGCATGTACAAGGGCTTCAGCTTGAAGCGGCAGTTTAATGTTCCTTGGATATTTTTTTAAAAAACCTTAATTTACTAGCTTTTAGCCTGTTGCGCCATTGACCAAAACCGGTAAGCCGAGGACTACGCTCATGCAAAGTTGAAGATAGTTCAGTGTGACGAAAGGCAGCCATGTATGAGTATAGCAGTGTGCGAAGAGGATTAGCTCATCACTAAGAGGTGGCGTAAGTAATAAAAGAACAAGAGAAAAAAAAAAGGCGAAGTTTGTCAAAAAATAATGATCGAACCGACTGTGAGTCGACCGAAGATCCGCGCTAGTAACATAGTCGAACTGGAACCTGGAAGGGAATAGGCTGTTGCTCGAGTTGGTGGAGCAGAACTGAAAGATCTCATGCTGACAAATGCATATATTTACAAAATACCGCTGTTACTGTAACTTGTTAGCCGAAGTCTGAGATCGGATTCTGTATTTAGTGCCTATTAGATAGCAATTTCGAAGATATACCTGAATCCAAAACAATGTATAATATAATAAAATGTACAATTTGATCATATTGAAATACATTAACTATACAAATGCATAAACATTATAGTATCGGTTCAAAAGAGATTTTTCGTAAATCCAAAAAACCTATTGATGACATGAATTGCCGAGCTAGACGTGACACTATATGTAGTAACAGTGCGCACGGGTCACACAATTTGTGCCCCTCGGCATGATGATAGATCTTCTCGGACATGTCACTTAAGATGACTATTTTCGATTAATCTATAATTCCGAAGGTAGTAATAATTTTGAAAACGGGAATTTTTCAAGTCGACAACTGAAAGGGAGTGTTTTTTAGTAACTCACTGAGAGGCTCTCGTCGCAAAGAATTGATGACTGGTGTTGAAGTTCGTGGGGGTGGGGACAGGTAGGGACGAAGTAGCAAGGAGAGGCGAGTCGTCGACCTAGGTAGGACCACAATCGAATAGATTTTGGTTCAACTTGCACGTCAAGTGGCCACAGTGACTCGGTTCGATTACTAATTCATAAAAATAAGTTGGAACGTAATCAACGTTACGTTTAGCATAAAAACGCTGAATCGGACTTTAATCGTGTTTAATAGTCGATCCACCATAGCCGAAGCTTATCCGAAACATTTTTCCTTTCAATATTGCTTTTAAGGGTCCTCTATGATGCGCGATGTCCAGGCAGGTAACATATTTGCAACAAATGGATATAAAAAAAAAAGCTCTTGTATTGTATAATGGAACCCTGTATCAGTGCGTCGATCTGAAATTGCTTTTCCCTGTAAAAATATAATACTATTATCGTGTGTTCAGTCGCCTGTGCTTTTCCTCAAGATTAGCTACTGTTACCCACTTCTTTCCTCCATTATAGAATCACCATTTTGCACAGTGTTATAATATAATTGATAGCCACTTCATTATCATATCATCGCTGTGCCATTTGCGAAGCAACAGGAGCCGCCGGACGACAGATCTGTTCAAGTTGTCTTCCTTCATTTTGCCACTGTTTCACTTTTCGTGTCTGCGGACATTCGTCTGCTCTGTCAGTAACTGTCCGTCCGCCTCCCCCCAAAAATTAGGCCCGCTAAAGACACAATAAACATGTTTATTTTTTATCGACCATTTACAATGCTACCGCTCTTCGGTCCACGTTTCGTCATCGAAGGACATTAACTTGAATCGCACGGCCGTCGCTACTATTTTTTTTTGCTTTATTAATTAGGCCCGCGGCGTAGTTTCCGACCTCTCGAATCTCGGACGGCCAACATCCGTTATCTATCTACCCATATAACTATCGTAATCATTGACGAAGAGTGACCCGCATGTAATGTCTCGGAGCTGAAGAAGGAACAGCATAATGGATTGCACTTTACTCCTAACATATACATAGAGGATACGTTCGTGAACGCTAATCAAATCTATTTGTATGCTGCCATGCCAGAATATTGACGTCAGAAACTATAGACAGAGACATCGGGATTTGGCCAAGGCAAATTGGTGAACTTTAAGGAAAAGTGTAAATATTTGCTTTGTGGAATGTGGACACAATTAAAGGACATGCCTAGAAAAGGTACTGCTTTTTCTCGACGAGCCAAAAATACAGACCTGAAAGTAAACAGCAAATGAACTGCACATCAAGTGACTGGAATAGAGCACCTCTGTAAGCAAATAAACCTAGTCCATTGATACGGACACTATCAGTTAGAAGATGACAGCTGAAATTCAGACACAGCCAGATTCCTACTAGTGGAAGAGGCGCCAAGAGCTTTTACAATTCCTGCTCCCCTTTGAAAAAGTCGGAAGGAGGACCTTCTGGACCTGTCCTTCGGGCAAGGCCTCTTAACTCTTGAGCCATCGTCGTAAGGTGCGAATGTTTACATGCTACGAAAAGCCTTGAAACAATATGAGAAGAACTCGGCGATTCGGATGTCTGTGTGTTGGATTACACGAGAATAGTTATGGTGAAACAGTTTGGAACAGATTAATCAGTAGCGGTGTTTTCTGTGTTGTGTATCACAAGCGACACGGGTAACCCTGATTTTACACCGAAATTATTAAGCCCATTTGGAATCCATGGAATTATTTCCATTATAGTGATCTGTTGGGTGCCAGGTTTATCAGAATCTCTTAAACAGTTGCACGATTTCTCAAGGAAAATTTCGTAAAACGCCATGAGGTTTATTGATCATTTTATAAATATTTTACTGTTCGTCGTGGTTTGTTAGAGATTAGGGATAAAGCACATTTGCCCTCGATTGCGGAAAAGCCTAAAAAAATAATGCGTAACGACGATTTCAGGCCTAAAACTCAGCTGCTATATTCAGCTTGTCGCATTTCATTATGTGCGCACTACTAGGCTTTTGTTACTGAGTCAATGCAAAAAGAGCTTATTGCTAAAATCTGATAAAGCTGTAAATTTAGCACTGGGTTTTGTACTTAGTTAGTTAAAAAAAAGTCGGTTTTATCGTTAACCTGTAGACGATTACTCGGACTATGAGTAGCTTTTCAGACAAACAAAATAAGTGAATAGAAATGCAGGAAAACGTTAAGTGAATGTTTTTGCCAGCCTATAATAACACAAATATGGTAAATATGAATGTGGTTTTGCAGTATGGAATTACGTCGGTTCAAGCAGCTCAAATCTGCCGGCCAGTGTACAGGCGAGAATATTAAAGATTTACTAGAATTTTCTATAGTGAACTAATAGCCATCAGCAGCAACTTAATTAAGATATAGACTCCATAAAATATGATGCAAATAACGCTAAAAACATTTCACTAATATTGCATTTTAAGAAGATTCGAGATTTCATTTATACGAAATGGCGGGAAAAGGCCAACGAGATATGGCGAGATTGTCTAAACTAGGTAAATTCAGTTTTGCAATAGAACCGAAAAAGGTACAGGTTCAATAATGCCCGTATGTGTATTGTTATCCTCTGTTCTAAAGCGCATTACGTGTTCCTGCAGGACCATGTCGTAACACTAAATACACTGGGTCCTACGCTTTTCCAGATTGTCTTGCTTTTGATCGTATTATGTTCCTCAATAGTCGAACAATAAGTCGGATTTAGTCATAGTTCGACTGCTACGAGCTAAACATCGAGGTGTGTGGCGACCTAAAACACGTATTGATTTGATCAGTGATGCGCCACTCCTTTCCGCTCACTCTTCCCCAGTAGCATGCAAGTGACTGGGTTTTTAAGAAAAGTTACGTGAAAATCGTGCCACCCATTTTCCTCTCAATGTGTCGGGCGCAAATTAATTTTGTCAAGTCTCCAAGCCACGTGGTCAGATCGCTTCCATATTGGCTGGCTGGCTCATCCGCCCCTTATGATCGATGGGTTTGTAGTCACCAGAATTATGGTGTGCTGGGGGGCGAGTCTAAAAGCGAGCCTTAGATAGGCTAGTATAGAGCCAAACCAGACTCAAGAAGACATTACATGGGACCGAAAGGCGCCTCCGCCAACGACTCTGGCACTGACACAACGCGCCATCGACAGTTAGTCTCCCCTTGAAAATGATGATGCAAAAGACGACAGACGGTGAGGACTATTGCTGCCACTGCTGCTGGAGCTACTGAATGAAAGAATTGCTGCCTCAAGTTAGTGCTGCAAACAGTACCCAACAAGCAGCTGACGAACGACTCGACCACTATGTCATAGTCTCCTTAGCGCTGTTGTCAATGCGTCGGCGGCGCGTCGCTTCTAGTAGCAATGGCGAGCGGGAGGGAGAAAA